AGCTCGGCCGCTATCCACGACACTGGCGCAAAGCCTAGCAGGCGTGGCACTTTCTCGACACCAAAGGGGGTGGGCAGGGGGTGGTCTCTCAGCTCGGCCGCTATCCACGACACTGGCGCAAAGCCTAGCAGGCGTGGCACTTTCTCGACACCACAGGGGGTGCGCAGGGGGTGGTCTCTCAGCTCGGCCGCTATCCACGACACTGGCGCAAAGCCTAGCAGGCGTGGCACTTTCTCAACACCAAACGGGGTGGGAAGGGGGTGGTCTCTCAGCTCGGCCGCCACGGCACTGGCGCAAAGGCTAGCAGGCGTGGCACTTTCTCGACACCACAGGGGGTGCGCAGGGGGTGGTCTCTCAGCTCGGTCGCTATCCACGACACTGGCGCAAAGCCTAGCAGGCGTGGCACTTTCTCGACACCACAGGGGGTGCGCAGGGGGTGGTCTCTCAGTTCGGCCGCTATCCACGACACTGGCGCAAAGCCTAGCAGGCGTGGCACTTTCTCGACACCAAAGGGGGTGGGCAGGGGTGGTCTCTCAGCTCGGCCGCTATCCACGACACTGGCGCAAAGCCTAGCAGGCGTGGCACTTTCTCGACACCACAGGGGGTGCGCAGGGGGTGGTCTCTCAGCTCGGCGCTATCCACGACACTGCGCAAAGGCTAGCAGGCGTGGCACTTTCTCGACACCACAGGGGGTGCGCAGGGGGTGGTCTCTCAGCTCGGCCGCTATCCACGACACTGGCGCAAAGCCTAGCAGGCGTGGCACTTTCTCGACACCACAGGGGGTGCGGAGGGGGTGGTCTCTCAGCTCGGCCGCTATCCACGACACTGGCGCAAAGCCTAGCAGCGTGGCACTTTCTCGACACCACAGGGGGTGCGCAGGGGGTGGTCTCTCAGCTCGGTCGCTATCCACGACACTGTCGCAAAGCCTAGCAGGCGTGGCACTTTCTCGACACCACAGGGGGTGCGCAGGGGGTGGTCTCTCAGCTCGGCCGCTATCCACGACACTTGCGCAAAGCCTAGCAGGCGTGGCACTTTCTCGACACCACAGGGGGTGCGCAGGGGGTGGTCTCTCAGCTCGGCCGCTATCCACGACACTGGCGCAAAGCCTAGCAGGCGTGGCACTTTCTCGACACCACAGGGGGTGCGCAGGGGGTGGTCTCTCAGCTCGGCCGCTATCCACGACACTGGTGCAAAGGCTAGCAGGCGTGGCACTTTCTCGACACCACAGGGGGTGCGCAGGGGGTGGTCTCTCAGCTCGGCCGCTACCCACGACACTGTCGCAAAGCCTAGTAGGCGTAGCACTTTCTCGACACAGGGGGTGCGCAGGGGGTGGTCTCTCAGCTCGGCCGCTATCCACGACACTGGCGCAAAGCCTAGCAGGCGTGGCACTTTCGCGACACCACAGGGGGTGCGCAGGGGGTGGTCTCTCAGCTCGGCCGCTATCCACGACACTGGCGCAAAGCCTAGCAGGCGTGGCACTTTCTCGACACCACAGGGGGTGCGCAGGGGTTGGTCTCTCAGCTCGGCCGCTATCCACGACACTGGCGCAAAGCCTAGCAGGCGTGGCACTTTCTCGACACCACAGGGGGTGCGCAGGGGGTGGTCTCTCAGCTCGGCCGCTATCCACGACACTGGCGCAAAGGCTAGCAGGCGTGGCACTTTCTCGACACCACAGGGGGTGGGCAGGGGGTGGTCTCTCAGCTCGGCCGCTATCCACGACACTGGCGCAAAGCCTAGCAGGCCTGGCACTTTCTCGACACCACAGGGGGTGGGCAGGGGGTGGTCTCTCAGCTCGGCCGCTATCCACGACACTGGCGCAAAGCTTTGCAGCCGTGGCACTTTCTCGACACCAAAGGGGGTGCGCAGGGGGTGGTCTCTCAGCTCGGCCGCTATCCACGACACTGGCGCAAAGGTTAGCAGGCGTGGCACTTTCTCGACACCACAGGGGGTGCGCAGGGGGTGGTCTCTCAGCTCGGCCGCTATCCACGACACTGTCGCAAAACCTAGCAGGCGTGGTACTTTCGCGACACCACAGGGGGTGCGCAGGGGGTGGTCTCTCAGCTCGGCCGCCATCCACGACACTGGCGCAAAGCCTAGCAGGCGTGGCACTTTCTCGACACCAAAAGGGGTGGGCAGGGGGTGGTCTCTCAGCTCGGCCGCTATCCACGACACTGGCGCAAAGCCTAGCAGGCGTGGCACTTTCTCGACACCACAGGGGGTGCGCAGGGGGTGGTCTCTCAGCTCGGCCGCTATCCACGACACTGGCGCAAAGGTTAGCAGGCGTCGCACTTTCTCGACAAAGCCTAGCAGGCGTGGCACTTTTCTCGACACCACACGAGGTGCGCAGGGGGTGGTCTCTCAGCTCGGCCGCTATCCACGACACTGGCGCAAAGCCTAGCAGGGAACATTCGCGACGAGGGCTCAGAACGCAGGACTGTGCATATAAATTATATGCATAAGCAAACACATAAGATTTAAATTAAGTATGTGGGGTTCCTCGGTAGCGTAATTTTGAACGCTCCAGAGGCCCCCAAGAAGGCGCCAAGACGGCCAGGAGGGCCCACGAGGCGCCCAAGACGCCCCCCAGACGGCCCCAAAAGGTGCCCAAGAGGGGGAGCACCAACGGAAAATTCGAGCCTTCCGCCCCAAGAGGCGCCCACAAAGCTCAGGAACATCCCCCCTCGTTGGTCAAATCACCTCCAAGACGGCCTCCAAGATGCCTCCAAGACGGACGTTGTGATGACCCAAAGAGAAGCCAAGATAGCCCTACGATAGCCTCCAAGACGATCCCAAGATGGCCCAAGAGGCGTCCAAGAGGTCCTTAAGGAAGGCCCGAAGAGGCCCGAATCATACACTTTCCGTAATTATTTGAAGGATTTTGGCATCTGCTTCGAAACGGCCTTCCAACAGTCCCCAAGCCTCAAGATCGGCCAAATGCCCCCAAGGTGGCCCCAGGACGGCCCAAGAGGCTCCCAAGACGGCCCCCAAAGGGCCCCGAGAGGCCTTCAAGACGCCCAAGATGACCTTCAAGACGACCCAGAAGTGCCTTGAGAGGGCCACAGGACGGCCCAAAGAACTCCCAAGACGGCTTCCGACAGGCCGGGACGCCGCACAACGGCAAGAGAGGCCTCCAAGAAGGCTCCAGATGCGCCCAAGAGGACAAGGAGGCCCCCAAGAGGCACCCCTGAAGCCCCCCAGTGGCCGCAAGAATGACCTAAGAGGATCCCAAAAGGTCTCCTCATCCTTCTCCTCGTCCTCCTTTGTCCTCCCTTTCCTCATCCTCATCTTCCTCCCCTACGTGTACCCCGAACTGCTTCCTCAATGGCTGGGGGAACGCATGGTCCAATAGCGCAGCCAAAATTTGCCCAAACGTTTTGCCACGTAGGCATGTCCTGAAAGGCAGGAGGCGGCGGTGATTCGCCACAGGCGTCTTCGATATGAAGGACACCGTGCAATTATCCTCCCCACCTCTCTGTCGGCCCGAGGTCGCTGCAGGCGCGAGGAGGAGGGGGAAGGTCAGGGGAAGACCAGCCCGAGTGGGTAAACATCGAGCTGGAAGCATCGATCAGGATGGATCGGCGCTAGGCCCCCGATAGCGAACCCGCACGTCCCTCGGCGGGGTGGGCTGTCGGTGCCTTATCGGCGATGGGTGAACAATTGGAGGTCGATGCGTCCCCCCTGAACCAATCCCCCCCTGCTGTTGCCCCCCCGATTTTCGGGTCACAACGAGGCTCTCCGGCGGCCGCTCGGGACGGTCCGAGCACCCTGGAGCGCCCTCCTCGGCGAGGCGCAACCGCTGGAGAGTATCCCGAGGCTGAGAAACCGACCGAGAGTCGACGAAAACGTCAGAAGAATTCTAACGTTGACCCTGAAACGTTATCCCTGAAAGAGGCCTGAGCCACACACACACACACACACATCCCGAATCGAAGCAATCCCCCCCTGACGTTGCCCCCGAGAGGAGCACACGGCCCCTCCCCACGACGAGGCGAGGCCGCGGTCTCAGCGCATCAGCAGCTTGCAGAACTCCTGTGCGGGCTGTTCGGGGCAGCACATTGGCGCCAGGCCGCCCACCGCCGCCGCCGCCTGCTGCCACCGCTGT